TCGCCACGCTCACGGCACGACTTTCACGTGACAGGGAGAAGCCCTCTCACGAGTTTTGCAGTAACCTTGCCGCCACCTACGATCCACCCCTCTCTCCACAACTGGCATACTGAGCGACCCCAGGACCGTCACCTTTCCCCAAAAGCCTAATTATCCTTTCCGTTCCCTTCAGGTTTCCCTTTTGATTTTAGTTTATATTTTTGAGTTAGAGCTTTAGGAGTTTGAGGTACGATTTTCGATACAATGAATTACGAGGTTTGTTAAGTTTAGGTTTACAGAATTTTCCGGTTTGGTAATTCGGGGCAAAAATTACCTGGCGCCCATAAGGTTTAATTCTAGCAGGTTTCATTAGGCTTAAGGGAAGTAGGGCGAAGGTAATGGGCATTTTTCATTCCCCGGGGGAATGTCACGTTACAAATTTTTTTAATGCAGTTTTCACTTTTCGCCAGCCCCGACCAGCAAAAACCTCGGGTTCGCCTCGGTTTTGTAAAAGTCGGGCGGGCCCCCATGTAACTGGCGAGAGAATGTTGTTGTCAATATCGAAATAGAAAAAATCTAGTCTTCACGAGGTGTGATTATATGGTACAGCCGTGCACATGATCATCCCGCGCAGAGGCTCAAGAAATAACAAAAGCCAAACGACGAATTTACAAATATACTATTTCAGTTGATTGCGTTACCACTTATTAAATATTAAAATATTTCTGGTCTACCGCACTTTCGGGCGGGGATAAAGAAAAATAGTATACGACACACGGCCAGGAAGTCGCTTTCACTGGAAATCCAACTTTCTGGCCTTGTGTCGTAATATACTAATTATACCAGAAGTCGTGGTTGGAATCTGATCCCTCAATGTTCTATCAGAGGCACTACCAGTGGTGATTGAGTTCAATTTTTGATTGAAAAGTTGTACAGTTTGCTCCCAATGTTTCGATAATCCCAAGACACAGTCAGGATACAGCCGACGAAAATCTCCTTCGTACTATACAAATGAAGATTTAAATTATTAATTTGAAAATTGTGCATAGCAATACAGCGATATTAGTAGTAAGTGGCCAGTATTGGGGAATTTCCCACGCCCCCTCCCCCCTTTTTTCCAGGAAATGTGCGTGCAGGTGCAGGTGTGCGCCCCAGGGGGTATTGTGCGGGTGTGCGCCTGGACACGTTCACCCCCTTTGTGCCTTGACAAAGGAATTTGACTTTAAATTGCGGAGGCGC